CGCTTAGCTTGGCGAGTTTGGTATTTCGTTCCCACTGTGTCTTAGCACAGCTTTGAGTAAACCTATGAAAGAGAACATAGATTCGCGCGAACTCGACAATCGACTACTGTGGACTTCGACCGAAAACAGGAAGTAAATACAGGTATGTGAGCTAGCTGAATTAAAATCATTTTTATTAATATCTTTCACATCTACTGCAGTCAGATTGACCGTGGTCACTCTTAATAACACCACTCACATGGCTGTGCACTTGTAATGACAATTCAAGGATGTTAAGAGGCTAAAAGTGGGTTTAGAACATGCCCCATTGAAGTCAACAGGGTGCGAATTTTAAGAAGAGGATAAAACGGTGTAGGCAACACCGATTTTTGACGTTTTTGTCAGACTGACAGACAGACAAAAATGAACAAAAAAAATGAGCTCAATGTTAAAATTAACTCAGAGTTCTCCTTTAAGTACAGCAACTAATTCCCGTCAAATACTTTACATCGTTTAATACCTGAAACGAACCTGATTAATTGGGCCAGTATATATTTATATTCAAATAAATAAACTGAAACTAAAAACTCTGTAACACTTTACAATAAGCCTTATCATTATCCTTATCATATTCATTAACATTTAACGCATTAACTAACACAAACTAACAATGAGCAATAGATTTGTATAGCATTTAACTTTGTTAATGTTAAAAATGTTCATGCTTCACAAGTGCATTAAGAACAGATACAATGTTAGATCTTAAAAAATGTATTAGTAAATTTTGAGATTAACATAAGATTGATAAATGCAGCAGAAAAAAAATGTATTTAATGTTAACTAATGTAGTTCACTACTGTTAACATATGAAACCTTATTGTAAAGTGTTACCAAATCAAATACATTTCACCCTTTATTTCTTCAATTCATTTAATAGTCTCTGTGTGTATTGTGTAAACCACTCGTCTTCAAGTCTTGGACGTTTTCTGATAGGTCCAGATTCTGATATTTAAAAGGACCTCCTGGGCCCTCAGGAGCTAATGTAGGACTCTTACACAACCCCTCTAGTCTGCAGGGGGAACAAGGCATTAGCCTTACAGCTGCTAATGGAATCACTTCCACCTGAAGTGATGGACACAGTCCGGTTGGTTTCCGCTGGGAGAAGAACTGCAGCTGGGCCGTGGAAAGAAGCGTTACGGCTTGTAACAAATCCACACACACGGGCCTTCTAATTCTCTCCCCTGATGTCTGTCACCGGCCCTGTTCATCTAGTAAATAACAAGGTTGCTCCTGGTTATGTCATTAATTATTCCAGGAAATAGAGGTCTGGGGCTCTGGGTATACAATGGCAAGGAAAACCACAGCCAGCTGAGTGAAGTCATACAACTGCTTGAGTTCGAATGAAACAACAACAATGGTGAGGTAATGTCACCTAGTTTAATCAAAGTCCACCAGGACAGAAATAAGTAGGATGATAGGAGGGGAACTATAGTGGAATCATCTGGACGTTGTCGGACTGACAACAGTGCCCCTACTGTCACCCTTGACCTAAGGGGTTCATTAGTTCAGACCAGGTGGAGAAAGAAGGGAGGGAGAGATGTATGGTTATAGTGCAGGAAAGAGGAAAGGGACACTGGGATTGAATGGCCTGCAGTGGTCCGATGTCAGGCTGGGTGATGGATAGCAGATTCAAGCTGCTGGTCTCATGCAGTCCTGTAATCACGACTTTTGAGATGAAAAGAGACTCCTCGTGTTGAATTTGGCAGAGCGGTTCACCCTCAGGTCCTCTGCCTATTTGGATCAGTTGAAAAGTTTCACAAATACTGTATGTGTGATCAAAAATCAGTTCTTATCTTCTCTAATGACCGTAACATTAAGAGGTCACATGGCTTTGCACTCTTTCCAGTAATTCAATTAGTGTCAAAAGGGTTCATTGGACTGCACAGAGAATGGCCCTGTGCACACAACCCCAGAGGTTAAAGTAGGAGCAGAGAAGACAGCTAGATGGATCAGTGCCTCCGGTTAGCTCAAGCATGAAGATTTAATCAAGATTTTAAAAAGATGTATTGGCTGCATGTAATGAAATTGTAATGGGCATGGTGTGCCTAACAAAACAAAGGGGTCAGCAGGTAAATGACATGGATGTTCTGCATCTCTAGCCCTTATCTAACCCTCTTCCATCTTCTTTGAGAGAACGATAGCAGAGCCAGGAGGACTAAGGAATCCAGCCAGTGATGAACATAGGTATGAATGTATGAGATATTTTACATCATATTTAGAAGGACAGATATATATGAGGGATATGTTTAGTCTGCCAGTAATTATTGCAAAATAAACCAAGACAGGGGGATCAGGTCCCACCTTATTACATCGCTACTCACCAAACAAAACAAAAAAAAAAAGTGAAATATGGCATGAAATACATAAAGTTCTGTCGTGAAACTCTAGATGGCGCAGGCTGATAGGTTCTTACCTCAATCTGCTTGCGATCGCATCATTCTGTGTTGGGCAAAGCTGATTGGTTCCTGCTGTATCACTTGCCATTGAGCTCGCCGATCAACCTTTAAATACTTGGTCAGCATTTGCTGTATCGCATTTTCAGAAATCCTCCATCTCCCCCAGTTCCACCTGTACAGATCTTCTATGGGTAATTCTTGTATGCTATATTGTTCAGCAGAAGCATGCTAGCTCACAGCAGTCATGTATGTATTGGCTATTGCAAGTGCAGTACTTGTGTAGCAGATCTATTCCGCCAATATCAACATTGTCATATCCAATAGTTAGTGATGGCCAAATGAAACGTTTCGAAGCATTATTGCTTTCTGATACTTATTGTGTCAAAAATGGTTCATTACTCAAAGCTTTATTCAGATACAAATTGCAGCACCATCTCCTGGTGAAGTAAATGTAATGCAACAAAGCCGACAACTATAAAATGCTTAAATGTTAACGTCCCGTTTATTTTGTGTTTACCGAGGCGATCAAAGCTGAAACAGTGTTAGTCGTGAAACTCACAGACTGCATGGATGGGCAGGGAGTTCTCACCCAGAACGGAAAAATACCGCCAATACAAACTGTATGCTATTGTCAATCATATTTGAAGATAGTGGTCCTATTGCAATGACTGAAATTCTAGAACCACTTCAGTTCACCGTAGTCTTTCTCACTTGCTTTTTTTCTAAGGTGATTTCTGTTGTAAATAGCCTGTGCTTTTCATAGCTTTATCACACACTATAACATTTGCAGGCAGGATAAAAGCTGACAGATCAAAGTAGAGAATTTATCTCAAAGTCATACTGGAGCCAAAGAGGGAAAATGCAAATAGTTCTAAAAATATGACTTGGACTAACAATTTCAAACAAAATCCCATCGTCTTCTCATGACATAAAGCATGGCAGCTTTGTTGTACTAAAGCCAATACTAAAGCAAATCCACAGATTTGCAACAAATGACCACAGAAACCCACTGCAGGAACCAGGTCGATATGTGACTGTTTTCTTTAGTCAGACAGATTGCAGTATCTGAATGAGCAGCACAAAACTATCACCTTCAACAAGGCACACCATCCATTTGGAATTCCGAACTGCAATTATCCCCTTCCTGGTGCAAGGAAGTTGCCATAGTGACTTGCCCTGGGCTACATTGAGTGCAAAGGTAAACACCAAAACCAAAAGGCAATATCTGACCTGCTGTGCTCCTCGACATTTTTTCACCAAGAAAGCTGATGCTTGATATTTTCAGTCTCTCCTAGCAGCTCTTTTCTTCCACTGCTCAATATAAATGTACTTATACTAGCACTGAATTTGCCTTAGACATGGTGAGTGTTTTTCTATTATATATTGAATGAATGATATGTTAGGCTGTATACACATTTTTACACATGTCCCTTATACACATGTGTAACAAATATGTTTTTCTACTGCTTTAAAGTGAACTAGATCTGTAGATCTTGTCTGTGTGATAGAAACAGAGCCATTATGCCATACGTATTTTTAGTATATCCAGTTGAACATTCTAACATGACATTATCAATTAGTTTGCAAAATTGATAATGAATCAAAATGTAAGGAATTAATAAGTGTAGGCTAACAGTTTTCGGTCTTCTGCACAATGCTGTAACGTTAGGTTACATGCTTAGGACATCATTTCCAAACATCAGATTTCCATGTAGATTATTATACAGAACTCCAAAACATAATACGTTGTAACATGTCCTGGCATGTTCTGCGGTCTAGACAAGTGCACTGTTTTCATGGCAGAATGAATTACATTTTTTGTGACGTTGCCACTGTGGAAGCTTGTAAGTCTCACACTGACATCTAGTGGGAGTCAATGGTAATAATGACACAACAAAATATGGAAATCTCTCAGATTGCATAGTTTTATTACGTACATATCCACACTGTAAATATTTAAATTGTTTGTTTTGGTTTGATCATCATTATAGCTTTAATCATGTATGAATTAAATTAAAGGTATTTTATTTTTACATTCATAGTAAGATAATGTCTCACGACATTCTAGAATTTAGAGTCCATAGATAGCTGAAGACAAATATACAGAAACAACTATATGTTGTAGGCCTATTTACACATTGTATTTATTTTTATTAATACATAATTGTTATTATGTATTTATATATTTATTTCAGTTTACAATTAATTTATTTTTAAGTTCACAACAAATTTTGGGGTTGGTATAATAAGTGTGCACAAAAGAACGAGAAAAATATGTTGTTGTTGTTGTTTTATTCTAACACAAAATGATTTTGTCCCATAATTATATTCTGTCAAAGCGATTTCAATGTGACCCAAACTAGAACTTTAATTTACATTAACTGCATGAATTTTGCGTTTTGGTGCTGTTATAATGTGTCGTGCACAGGTCAAATTAGGATAGCTCTATGCACGATGATGCTCACGATGAAAACCAGCAGATGGCACTTTACGCGTGTCTGACGTACACCTACATCATTATTCGCGTCGAGTCAGCAGAGGGCGCCCGTAAGCGCGGATCTTTCAACAACACATTGGTCGCGTCTCAGCCGCGCGCCTCTAGGCGCAGTCAAATGGCGCTTCTCCAGAGAGCCACGGCGCCCAGTCCGACCAGCTGATGGTAATTAGAGTGTAAACCGCTTTCCTCGACATATTACTGTCTTTATTTCTTATGATTCTGGAAGCTATTATTTCTTATATTATATGCGACAAATGTGGACGCATAGGAAGATATTGCGCTTGGTTGTGCGTGAAGCTGTTATTCCTATAACGGACTGACAACTGAAAGATTCATCCTAAGGTAAGCAATGCATGGGGACATGTAGTGGTAACGTTACTTTAAATCATTCTGTTTTTACAGCAGTGATTTGTTTTGCTTGCATGCAGCATTGTATGTTTTATTTAAAAATGTAGATGTTGTTCACGTTTGCAACATAACATGCTGCAGATATTTTGTAAGTTAGGCTACACAAGCGTTTGGGAAATCTCAGCATGCGGTCAGGCTGATCCGATTCACATAATCAAGGGAAACTCATTATTTCTTATACGAGCCGGTCTAACAAGGCTTCCCTATAGGGCTTTCCCTTTAACTATGACCAGTAGCCTAGCATTAATGGTGGGATAAATAGTGACATCTAAATGTATGGGTTTAAATCACTTCAGAAATGTAGACTAGCTACTTTTAGGAAACAAAGTGTTGTTTACTAACGGCTAGACTACTCCGAAAACAGATGAGATCATGTGTTCCCTTTTCCCAGGACTAGCTCAGTCAAAACATGACCTTTCACTGTTTGTGGGAGTTGTTCTTAATAATTTGTTATATAATGCCGACAGTCTACTGTTGATTCATTGGGTGAATATTCTTCCCACATTTGTTGATGCAGGGTGTTACATCGGTTTGATAATAATAATAATAATAATAATAATAATAAACTTTATTACAGACTCACCGGTCCAGATAAAAACAAACAGACAGACAAGACAGTACACACAATATAATAAAAAAATAAATTACAACTTCAAAGGAGACAACTTGGACGTATACCGTGTAGTGCTAAACTTGATATTGGTCAATGCCACAATTATACAATTACAAATCAATGTGAAATAACCATTTTTAACAAACCAGCTTTCAGTAAAATATGTGTTTTTAGAGAGAGTGTGACAGAGACAGTAATTAATTTAATAATTATTGTTATTTCTTGGTTTTCTGTTTAGGACATCAACTAAAAAGTCAAAATAGTGATCTGTGTAGGCTACCTGGTTGTATTCCAGTGTTATTTTAGTAGCCTATTGTTTATATACGTTTATAAATATTTTTAATGAGATTTTAATTTTATATGTTCAGTTTTCATTTTAATTTAGGTATGTATTTCAGTTATTTCAACAACAAAAAAGTAAAAAAAAAAATTCATCCAAGATAATTTATTAGTTTTAGTTCACGTTAATAACTGACTGTAACATTAGTGGGGCGAGGTTCACATCCAGCCAGAGCCGATATCAGCCCTATTGGGTTGGTATAATAAGCTGTGTATACGCACACTGCAAATTACTTGTCAAAGCGCGTCAATCAAAGTTTACAACATCAGTGAGATGTTGTAAGGACTCCTGCTCACGAAAAGAGAACAAGAGAGTGAATTGCGGGAACCACAATCAGGTGTGTTCTCTCCTCTCCAAATTTGATGTCCGCAAAGATGATGTGTATCTCTTTCTAGTCTGTCTGTCTAACCCAGCTGGGCAGCTGCAGTGCATCTTTGGTCTTTCTGTGTCTGTTGCTAATTCCGGCACTTCCTGGGCTGTGTTCTGTGACTTTGTGCCTGACAAAAAAGTAAGAGTGATGAAATACAACTGTTTATTACGTTTGATAAACGACAAAGGGCAACGGTGTTTGTTTACAAACTGTATGGCCGCGTCGCGCGTTAACATGCGTTCATATCTCATGGTTCATATGCGCGCGCAGTTTCCAGCAATAAGGGCGTGATGTCACTCCTATAGGCGCACATACTTTTAAAAAAAGACGATGTTTTCATTGTGTCTAGTAGTGTACAAGTCAAGGTTTAGTTACAACTCTGCAATACTGCAAGATGGAAAGCAATGTATTGATATTGACTATTGATTTATAGGCTATATTGCATTTAAAATGTTAATTTGCTGGAGAGACAATCAATATGGATGCACATAAATAATAACCATCAGTACTGCTTTTATCATTTAAAACACAAAGACGTGCTATGGCAAGCCATTTTAGCTTTCATTCATTCACAGGATGCATTTTTAATATCAATAACTAAATTTGTACTAACCCTAACCCTTCTTGATATTAAGAATGTGCTTTTTCCAGTATTAATGTATTTTTCTTAAATCAGGAATTGCATTTTCATTACTACCATCTAAGGGAGGGAGAATAGTAGTGGGAGCAGTTGGGTGTCATGTGTGACTGTGGCAATGGCAAATGTTTTGTTACATGGCTCAGGGGTCAGGTTGGAGGGTCCCTTAACAGAATTTCGCTTAAGGCCCCAGGGAGGTCTGGATCGGCTCTGCATCCAGCCAACACAAATACTTTTTTTTTAAGATATTAAGAAATAAGTCGTATAAGTCTGACAATGGGTTATATTTTCTTCTGGTCATAGAAGAGTGGCCGAGCTGTGCATGTGCCCTATTTATGCATAGACTCCTTTAAAGCCTCTCTCAGTTTAGTTAGACTCGACTAGCGGTCACAGCCATTGGTGTTTGTTGCTGTGGCCAGTCTGGGGGTGACCCAGACATTAGTGTTTTAAGTATACTCTCGATGTAGAGTAGTGCCTGCCCTATTGCCAGCCAGTTAGGAGTTACTCCCCCAGCAACAAAGATGTCTAAGCCAGAAAAGTCTTAAATTCAAAGAAATGTGGTAAATATTCAAATGTATTCAAAAGTTATAGAAGTTGCCTAGTGTGTAAAACTATCCCAAAGGAATTTTTGAGACCTGTTTTGAACTTCACCTTAAAGAAAAACTTGCACATTGGTTTGGTTTATGTGAAGGTTTAAGCCTTTAACCTGAAGTGGAATGTTCAGGCATAAAGATAATGAGAGGGGAAGTTAATTGGGCCAAGTGTGACGTCACAGAAGTGGGCTGAGCATGAAAGAGGGGCATTAGTGTCTGCTGTAGTACAGCTGCGGTTGTAGCTCTGAATGTCCCTTTCATGAAATGCACAGGGACTTCCCATGTCCGGAACAAACTGTGAATGCCAGCTCTTAGTGTTCCTGCTCTATAGCCTAAGCACACACTGGCAATTTAAATATTACGTCAAGGTTTTGTTTGTTTCTCAGCACAGGTTGACGAATTGTTAATGAGGCCATATTAGCCTATTAATGTGTCCTTTATGAATGATTTTGTTTTCTATGATCAGGGAAATGTTTAGCATCTTTTCAGTCTAGTGAGGACAAGAGGCTGTGGTGACTAACTGCATGCTGATCACCAGCTTTACAGAAGGTGTATTTATGTTTGGTGGAGCATAATATCAGCCTACAGGGGTGTCAGACAACTTAAAGGAGAACTCCGGCGCAAAATGAACCTTTGTTCTAATAAAACATCGCCGGTGCCTAGTCAACCGTTTTGAGATTTGTTTTCATGATCATTGAATGTAAAGAGTTTTATCTCTAAAAACTGTTTAGCGTATAACGCTAGTAATGGGGGCATTAACTAAGTAAAAATAAATCGCTAGTTTATACCACTAACAAGGCTCAAAATAGCCCCACACTAACACCGTAACATAATGAGGGCTCATACATGCAAAACAAAGCATTGAGAACTTTGTATTGCAAGTGTACAGACCGTTTAATAAGAAGATGCTTTATAAAGACAGTTCACTTTGTGTATACAGACAGGAGCCATCTCGGAAAACAGTCACGACAAGTCAAACCACGAACGTCGTGCTGAGTGAGCTGAACTGTATGAACGGCATTCGGTGATCGACTTATCGAAACTATTTAACAACACTCACATATTTGTGGTTCTCTGATTTACTGTTCCTACGTATTTGGTATCATAAGTTCACTGTGAGGTCATGTCAGAATTATGGCTTTTTTCTGTCAGCTAAACTGTAATAACAACTCCCGACATCAAAAGAACAATGAATGGCAATGGATCTGAACTGAAAAGATCAGTAGAAGGAATCGCAAACGAAGTAGGTTAATCTCCGTACTAATGAGGTCACAGGCTATTGACTTCAAAACGGAGATTAAATTCACCAATAAGTAAAACAGCGGCCTACTTTCAGAACCTTTGGATACATATCAAGTATTGATTTCTCAAACCTCAAATGCTTATGAGTACATGGACAACTCTCCTACATATTTCTCTGTATTCCTCAGTATTTGTTGAATGAAAGATGATGGGTGTGCGTTTTGAACTGCTACAAATCCTTTGATCCCAGCTATTCAAGTAATCTGTTAAATCTTCTTTAGATCATGTTGTCTACACTGACCTGGAACAAGCTCTCTAGACATTTATCTCCTGAGCTTTTCCTATTGCTTTCTGGTGCACACTGTGACGCGTCACTCAATTAAACACTTAGTAATGATCTCAAATCCTTGTTTGTGAGTTGATATCTCACATGATCTTATTAATTGTTACTTAAATCTTCTTAAGTGATTAAATGATATTGTGGTATAAGCCAAAGTATTATTAATTAAATTAGGCATAGCAGTTGGTGTCCGACATATTTTGTGTATTAGAACCATGACATTTCTTTACCTACAGTAAGGAATCGTATCATGAGGATTGATTTTCCTTAATCTTTTGTGAAAACATCAAAAACATCTCACTCTGAATTTCTGTACATGATGCAGATGAACCCAAAAAAAATACTAAGTAATAATTTAAAAATGGGTAATTTTGCTTATTTGTGGTGTATAAAATCCTAACTTTTTTGTGTGTATTATGTTACACCATTACAGTAGGTCTTGCAGAGCATAGGTCTGTGCTCCATAGTCATGCATATGCTGGCATGCGTTTGGCGAAAACAGGAAGTGTTGCTGTTTCCTTGGGCAGAGCTCACATCCTGTGCTTGGCTGGAACACTCTCAGCTCCCTCAGACCTGCACAATGCCTTGCAGATATTATTTAAAACCACTCCTTTCTAAATGAGGAGACATGCTAGTTTTGTTATTTGCCTTCATTGTTGTCCATTCCTATTTGTTCTGAAGAAGTCATTGGCGTTTGATTTGTCCGTATATATTAACATTGCATGTGTAGTTTACCAAAAGGGGTTCTATTATACCCTTTTATGGAGTCTTGATTTTGTTTTTGAATTGTGCTAGAATA